CTGTAACAACATTGATCGACCTAGTCAATAAATCTATTTTAAAAGCAGTCTTCCAATACAGACAACAAAACACAAAGTAAATTCAATAATCTTTCTCCCGACATAATATACGCAATAAATGTTGAAAACAAAACTAGAATGCTGTGGTACAAAATCAGAACACTTCTGATTAATGATGAAATAAAGAAAGAACTTAACACAATCACCAGTACAGTACAATCACAATAATTTGCATACTTCCAATAGTTCCTATGGTACTAATTTCCACTAATTAACATAATTATCATAAATTAACTGTCTCATTCACTGTATAATTTTTGTTATTCAAAGAATAAACTAGGCAACAAAAAATAGGCATAATATATAGAGTGAAAGAAAAGTTGAAAAATAGGCTTAGTTCACGGGAATACAATTAAAACAAAAATATTTACATTATGAAACATATTCACACAATTTTAGTCTATTAACACAGTAGTGAACTGCTAAATTGATTTCTAGTATGCAAAATTAAACGGAAAGCATATTGTCTTCAAATCCATTTTCCTATATTTCCATTCGGCAGGTTGCATTTTCACCAAATACTTTCACTTCCTAATAGCATTCGGTGACATCCGTCTTTCAACATCTCCTTCAATAAAATTCAACTGGCTCCATAAAGTTTTGTGGAATATTATTTCTCAGGCGGCGAAATACTTTTCCATTTGCAAAGTTATTTTCAAATCATATTTACCTCATACATATGTGAAAACGACGTTTTAAGTTCTACATTTTGAGATAACGTCATTCAAACTCACAGAAACTAACACACTTTTCTAACAAACTTCTGCAAAAACATTCTTGGTAAGAAGTTACTTGGAGGGCAGAGTTTACGCATTTCGGGAAGGACGTAGCTAGAGGAAGCACTTCGAGTAGCACACGGATGCAGTGAATTCGATAGCGGTGAGTTGTGAAATGCACAATATATTACTGCTTATTAAATATAGTAAAAACAGCATATTAAAGACCATTCATACAAACAATAATGAACATAATAAAAAATACTTATATAACACCCATAGACTGCACCACGCTCATTGTTCATAAATTTTAAAACAAAGGTGGATGTATTTCTCTTTGCACACGATAACCTTTAACAGCTGAGTTATTATTAAATGTAATATTTTTTTCTTCCACGTGTGGACTCAAGAATAAATCTATATTTTTTCATGTGCAAGTATATTGATAATTAAACTGTGTATTAATTATGTATTACACTACCAAAAATGATACAAATCATCAAAAATGATTCTGAGAATTCAAGTAGGTCACTTTCATTGTCAGGACGCAGCAGTGATGAAACGATCTTGGCTAGAAGACAAAGTTTGCTTAATTATCACTATTATAGCATAGGCTTCATTTCCATTAACAACTCTGTAATTTTGAAAATCGCGAAGGTTCCAATTTCTTTCGAGCCTGTCCTATATTTACAATATTAATGCTAGATATTTATTTGTAATGCAATCTTTCCCTCGATGTTTATTTAAATTCATTAATGAACACTTGTTTCACTTAAGTCAATCTGTTAATTGCTCTCGAAGTGCGGAAAACAGAGTTGGCACGACGTTTGCAGCGTTGTAATCCTGTTCTGAACTTCGTAATATTTAAATGGGTTTTGGTCTAGTCACCTGTGTTGAAGTAATATGACTAATGAAATAAATTGCCGAAAAAATTAATAAAAAGTTATGATAGAAAATAAAAAACACTTAGAAAATTCAAAAGTGTTGAAATAAGTACACAAAACGGTGGAGGAAAAATGCTCTAAATTCTAAATAAAAAGGACACTTGATTCTTTTGTATATTTTGTCATCTTTTGTAAACATACTTTACTATATTCGAGGTAACAATGTTAATAAAATATCTGAACGTTTTTGACACGATGTTTTAAGGCCTCAATCTCACGCAAAATTTCTCGAAAAATACTCAAAGTTCCGAAAATTCTCCATGACCTTCCACCTATGAACAGATTTCATTCACGACAAAAGACTCTATCTTCAATAATGGCATTGTAGGAAGAAGTCGAAAAATATGTGAAGTTCTGCGATTTTTGAAACGCCAGAAAGTTGAACGAAAATGAGATTTTTAAGCAAATTTAAGAAAATTGAAAACGTTAAGGATTAATTTAAATTATTTCTAAAAACTAAAATATCTATAACAAATACGTAAAACAATTTTTAAATGTGAAAAGGAATGTCTAATATGGAGAAGAAACCGAAAAGTGAAGAAAGAGCCGAACGAAAACGGGGTGAAAGAAAGAAACCTTGAAAAGATAAAAGAGAGGAGAGTACAATGCAAAGAAAAAAGGAACAATTTGAAGAAAATGTTATATAAATCTTTACCAAAGGTAACGAGAAAAGAATAGAAGAAATGGTAGTAACAAAATGCTGGAAATGAGGTCATCCGTGAGGGGGTATGTATTACAGGGTACGTGAGGTTGTGAACATGTGCGTTAAAACGGAGAAGCAACTGAGAGAAATACATAACAGGTGAATTTATAAAACACAAAAAAGTCTAAAAACAACAAAAGTAAAGGGAGGAGGATGTATCGCAAGTGAAGATAAATTTTTGGATAAATTGTACACCAGGTACCTTAATATAAATAACACAAGAAAAATGGAAATACACGGATAGATCGAGAATAATTCAATGAGACAATGCCAAAACATTTCAAAAGCGTGGGAAGAAGGCAGAATTGCTAGGACCTCAATTGTGGTAGTGAAAATCAGCATGGGAACGATATTTCTTTCACCTATCCAGAAATATTTCCATCAATTTTAAAACAATGAAACATAGGAATATGAAAAACAATGTGAATGGACCAGAAGACGTTGAGAACTCATGTCGATGGTCGGAACTTGGAAATTCTTTAATTTTAGGTAAATGAAAAAAAAAGATCACCAAAAAAACTTATTTTAAAAATCTTCAATAGCAATATTTGTCCAAATATGATTTAAATCTTACTTTCTCACCATCCCTGAAGGGGTACAAGAATTTACACATTTTGAAATGAATAGAAGACACAGTGTGTCCTACGTCCAGATCAATCGAAGGGTAACAATTTTGGAGCGAATCATCTGAACGGTTTATAGAAGCTAGCATTGACCACAGATGGCCGGACACACAGACGTTTCGCCGCCAACTAATGACTCGGTATCAAGGACCAAGAAACGTGTACTGTGACTACACAACATATGAGACAAAGTTAATCTACTAATGTAGGAAGAACTTTTCTACATTAGGACTCCACAATCAGTCTTTTTCAGTCGAAAAATCGTAGTTTTCTTTACAGGAGCATTACGATAAGTTTTCTATATAACGTAAGTAGTATGCAAGAATGTAAAATCACTGAAATGAAATATAGTCGACTTTAGGCGTAGGAAACACATGAGGACCAATAATTTTTGTTCACTACGGGGTTCAATATATTAGATAATTCGAAGAAAAAAACTAGTTATTTTGTGACGATGGTTTTGTTATTACAGAGATTAAAAAAGACTAACATTAGTAGGGGGCTGATTTCAATGAAATATCATTTTCTTTTTTTCACTTTAGAACAATGCCATTTAGTATAGACATCCATTTTGTGTTATGACAAAAGAAAAATGTCTTTTTATATGACCTTTTTGCACTTCTCGTCAATTTCGAAGTCATTTGTGTACCGTTTTCCGTCATTTTTAAAGTATTTTCGCCAAATTAATTGACATTCATATAATTTTAATGGTACTTGCTTCAAATTACATTTACACTACGCAACAAATGTTCTCCACAAAATTGTTGAGTTCGATTTATTAGCACTGAAATTGTGATGTCAGCCGTTGTGAGAATAATCTCGGGTTCATGTGACATCTATCAGCGACATTGACATTTATGGCAATTTTGCGACAACTTAAAATAGGGAGTTCTCTGGTAAAGAATAGCCCAAACGAAAAGCTGGTTACTTGAACGACAGGAAGAAGCCTCGATTACAACAATAACATATCCAACACCTTAAGCTGTTCGTCAGAACTGATTTTGATCTTCTTGAACTGATTTTGACTGGTCATTTGTCTTTATTCACAAGACATTTTTAATACCTTTTAAGAGTTCGTTATTGATCATTTTGGCGATGTTTAGGTCATCAAAATCCGTCTCCTGGTATTAAGCTATTAAACACCCATTGTACGGTATACCGAGCACAGTTCATGTTTCGTATCTGACCCTATTTCCTGTGAGGAGTGAAAAGCAATATGTCTGTACAAATGGACGTATTTCGTAACATATGCTTCTGTACTGCTATTACACTAAATAAGTAATCCATGTTGCCTGTTAGTGTATATAATATTATGAACATTATACTTCTAAAAACTCATATTTTAAAATATTTGTGGAATAGTATTAATATAGAGCTTTTATTTCTAAATATTCAGCAAAAGGGAAACATTTTATACAAAATATCACATGCTAAGAATTTATGGCCTGATTTTAATGCCTGATTATTTGTATCAGATCAGTAGGATAATCAGCGTGCAATCCGAGCTATCGTCAAGTTCTTCCATACTTCCAGTTTTTTGGTGTCAAACGGGAAGTGTTAACTGGTACTCACCGCATTTACCATCGGGATTCATTGCACTTCATCAACAAGCAGTGCTTAAGAAAAGTAGGTCTGGCCTGAGGGTCAGCACCGCACTCCCCGGTGGCGATCTTGAACTATTGTGTAACTGGAATTCACTGTTGTTTTTTTGTTTTCTTGTAGTTGTTTTTCCTGTTACACAATAGCCAATGTAGTGAGTTCACTATAACGGAATTTTCTAGTGTGAATTTTTAATGTATGTGAACCGGGAACTGTGACTTTGGTTAGTTGTAACAGAATACTCACTACATCCAAGTTTCTAAATCCAGAATCGAATTTGGATGGTTACTGCAAATCAATCACTCCGGTGGTTTTGTACACCGAGGAGAAAAAAGGTGTATTCCAGCAAGAAATAAGTAAACTTTATTGACTTATATTACAGTCTCATGACGTTTACATGACATTTTTAATACTAGGCTGTTGTATTGTTAGCAGTAGATACAGAAGTAGGAGCTGGAGTAGAAGTAGGAACAGGAGCAGGAGTAGAAGTGGGAATAGAAGTAGGAGTAGGATTAGGAGCAGACGTTGTAGTGATGGAGGAAGTCGGATTTGTTGGAGTCGGACGCGTCACTGAAGCTGGACTTGACGTAGTTGTATTTGTAGTTGTTGAAGTGCAGTGGGAGCACCATATAAGCGTAGTGTTGCGACAAAACGTGTTGCAAAAGAACTCCTTTTTGTCTCCAAAAGTCATCTGTGAAGAAATAATTATTTTAAGACCTTCATTAAAATACATTTATGCAAAATCATACGCATACCAATACCATATCATCAACATAAACATACGTTTGGCAAATGTTCAAAAATGTAAAAGATTCATCAATGGTGACAAAACTGTAGCTCCACGCTTCTTTATACTGCAAAATTATCTCTTTAGAAAAATTAAAGTAGTAAATGTTACAGCGAAATGACATAATATCTTAAAGAGGCAATACAATAGAAATAATGTTTTACATGATTCACTGAACTGAAATTTAATGCACTAATTTCAATAGTGTGGCACACTTTCTAACTTGAAATATTGTCTGAGACTTGCAATGTGCTAAATATTATTTTGTTTTCTTTCAAAATAATATTCACAGCAAATTAATAAAATTGGCATAGACGAACAAACTACAAACAGTTGATATTAAGTCCAACAAGTCGTGAAAATATCCCAAATTTATTTTTAATGTGGTTTCGCCTGTCAGGTTCTGTCAGGAAGTCATTTTTGTATATATATATAAAGGAGCATATTTGTCAAATGTTTGCTAGTAAATTACTTACAAACCTTTACTGGACAAAAAATTAATTATTTCAAATTTCACATGATATGTTTTCAACATGTTAGTCTGATCAGCACCTCATGATAACAAAGCATGCACTAATGCACATAATTACGTATCATATGAATTACGAGCAGCTTCCGGGCATTTAAAACTTTTGACATTTCCTGAACTACTTTCCACATGAACATCAAATGATCTCGAATTTAAAATCTTTTGAAACTTTGAATGTTTTTCTTAATCAAATCATTGAAGAATTTTTTCATCGTTACATTTTCGAAACAATATAATTTCTCATTTAAGTTTTATCATAATTATTGTTACACATTGCAGGAGATATGAAAAATAACAATATTTAAAGTAACAGATGTATCAATAAAATATCATCTGGCGTTATACAGTCTGGTTTGGCATTATATTAGAAATTATTCAAGTATGATGTGAATTACATAGTAATCGTCCTTATGTGATCTCCGATTGTTAATATCGAGGGCACACGATGTGAAGTGCGATACGAATACAAAGTGAACCCGTCAAATGTCACCAATTGGTAATGTATTAATTACATATAATACTGAACACAGTTTATTTCGATTAATTCTCAAAAGCGCCAGCAGTACTGCGTTAAACACAATAACTACTATTCTTTCCTCTTCATACATTTTTTATTGATTAACTTTCTTTAGGAATTCAAAATATACGCAAGACTTGAAACAATTTTGATATTTTACACATATCATTGCTGAGCTAAATATAAAATGGCCTGTAAAAAAAATATGACGCTGAGACTGTACGTGGTCCCAAGAAATATTTTCTCTCAGAAACCAAACAACACAATTAGTGTCAATTGTTAAGGATATTTGGTCACTAACTTTGCCTGGGAAGAATATCTGGATATTCAGAGAGCAGTCGAAAGCAGGGAATTTCACGTTCTCTTTTTCCAGACTTACCTAGCATTCGAAAACCTATTTGCTACGGGAAAGATAACTGAAAGAAAGTATCTTCTGTCTTTAAGATTTTGAAATAATCGTAAACAGAGCCAAAAAATCGGCATTCTTTATTCTAATTTTTACTCATAAAGCGTATTGTGCCAGTGTTCATTTACAACTTACAGAGACTAGTATTTATCATAAAAACGAAGAAATAGGAATGGTTAGATAGTCATTTTTCTCAATCGCAATTTTCAAAAGGAAAACGGAATTTTTAAATACGTTACATCAAGAGTAGTATAGCATAATTATGTATCTGGCCATACGAACATATCACGTGTACCGCAACACAAATACAGGAAAAACGGCAGAGATGGAAACATTGATGCGACAAACTTTTGGGGGTAAAACAATCATTTAATACATTTTCGGAACTTATAAATAAATTTTTAAATCAAGAGAATTGGTTTGATAAATAGAATAAAATATATTGAACATAAATTATATTAAATATTTGCAGTATTACGTTTTCATTTTTTTGGTAGATTTCATTATTCTACTTAATGGAAAAGAACACTATTTCTGCAAAAGAAAACTAATTAAATTCTTTTAGGACTGTGTCTATTCATGTTATAAATTTGTTAACGCCTGCTGTTGATAAAAAACCCACTTCGATTTTGGGACTTAAAGAAACATTCTTTTTTTATTTCTCGCACTTGTTTTAATACATTCTGTTCTATAAGCTTTTTAATGCTTTGCCCCTTTTCTTTCCTATGTGTGCATATAATAATTTAGCCTCAACCGATTTTTACCCATAAAGTAGTGTGCACATCAAAACGGTGTGGAGCATAAACCTCTAAATTCGACTTACGAAAATGAGGGCATATTCTTAAATGTAATGTATGCCTGCATTAACATAACTATTGTTGAGTGTGTTTTACAAAACTAAACAATCCTATATTATTTGCCAAGATTTGAGTACCTTGTTACTGATTTTATAGAATAAAGATGGGAGCCATAAAGAAATACTCTAGTAGTACTTCTGTCCCATACGTCACAAAATTATTTTTACTGTTTGAATTAAAACGAATGAGTACATTAATAAATGAGATCGCATTATTTTCGCATGCAAATGTGTTAAAATGATACGAATGTCGATCTAAACGAACCAAACTCTGTCATTGATGTATTCATTTTCTGAAACATTTTTGAGAAACTATCTGTAGGAAACTCAAAAGGCAGTAATGAATAAACATTCGACGAACACATAACGTTATTGGTAATTATCCCCTGTCTCCCCTACTAAATAAGCCTCACAACGACTAGGCATAAACACTAATGCTATTACTGACGATCTGTGTGTGAGAAAAGAAGTAGATGGTAACGTCGAAAACCGTGCAGCTAACACTAGTTGATTGCATATCTCAATTACATACCTGAAAAAACTTCTGTGGGTCAAGAACCTTGGCAGACGGTGGCTTGGGCAGGGTGGCAGCGGTGGTGTTGCCTACGGCCACTGCAAGCACAAACGTCACCAGAAACAGACGCATCGTAGCAGTTGGACGCAAACGCCAGGCCGGAACGGGAGACGAATTGAGAATGTTGGTCCAACGAACAACGTCGAAGTTTTATACGAACGTCTCCAAGCAACCTTCGTCTTGTGGATTGTGGGTCCCCCTCCTATCCTCACAAGGACTTTCCCACACCCACACGGTATACGTTGTTATCGTGCTCCCTTCGTAAAACATCCGTTCTGGAATACAACACAAATTAGGTCACCCGTATAGAAAAGAGCGAGTCACACCTATTAAACAAAGCAGCTTCGGCCGCGCCGGTTGATTTCCTGCACCCGATCCGGAGACGAAGCACTTGCACAAGCAACGGGTGGAGACGTGAGAGAGGGGGTTGACAGGCGGATGGGTGCTCTCTTTAGTCATCCGAGTCATAGCGAGATCCCGTGATGACTCAAGAATGCTCAACGCTCTTGACACATTGTAAACGATGCACGTGTATGTAAGTCGGTCAAAGTGAGAAGAAAGCATTCTGTGCTACTTTTCTTAGGAACGGTTTGTAATCAACATACGATTATTCCTTAAAAAACAGGGTCACCCATATCTTGAGTATGTATGAAACACAGTTGGTGGAATAGATTTTATCTTGTAATCCATCCGAAACAACACAGATTCTAAAAATTTAATATACTTCAATGTAATTTTCGGAAACTAGTCTATTGCAGTCTGCCAATCTGCAGACATACGGTTGCAATTTTAGAAAATATGTATTGTGAATTCCCGATGCTTCACAGCGCCGTAATGCAATTCCTAGTTGGAATACACATTTGCTTAGAGCACGTTCCCGCCTCTCTTTTATTCCCGATTCTAGAATGTCCCAGATCGATTGAGTTTATTTCAGAGCCAGCATTGCCGCTGACTAACAAGTGGCTCCGACTGGGAATACCTAGGGTTCGAGTCGTGAGGGTAGTAGTTTTAGACTAGCTACGACGAATTCAACCGCTGTCTGAAGATAAATATAGCGGCTGGCTACTCTGATCAGCAATTTTCCGTGGTTTCTCCGATAAATACCAGGCGAAGGTCAGAGCAGTTCCCTCTTAAACGGGTCTCGATCGGCGCGCATCAATATTTTTTCTTCTTCCTTCTATCCTCTTACACACTTTAACACTTACATGTACTACACTACCACACATGACGAGAGACTTGGCGGGAGTGTAGATCATGGCTCGTCTAGGGCCCACTGGGAGACACCTTGAGATGGAAATTCCACGCAATCAAACGCGTGGTTTGGTGTCGGATTTGAAGATCAAGCGGCAGAGCAACACAGCAATCTATCGCGATAAAATATTCACTACAGTAATGGGACTAATTACCAGTTCGCTGAGAAGAAGTGATACACGTCTCTTTCTAAATCTCAGTATTCTCTCTCTCCATTTCCGGAGAACGGTTTGTCTCTTGGAAGATGGGAATACATTATTGTTGTTCCTTTGAACAGAACAAACTTTCTGACTACAGTGATCTGCAAAAATTAGTTTTTACTTCAAAAAATAAATGTATCTTAAAATATTTTTCATACCAAATTCAAAAATCCTTTTGTATTTTCCCCCCAGAAACGTGACAGTTATGTGACATACGTCTGACATTTTTAATATGTCAGTACTAACCTATAAATATACGCAAACTTCTGGCTTACATACAAAGTGGGAAATATTGGAGCATATTTTGCGTATGGAACATAAATCCCGTTGTCTTAGTGGGGTATCTCGATAAGTACCAGTTTTACCTTTCTGGCCTTTAGTTCGCAAGAAGAGAAAGTATTGTAATCGTTCTCCGGAAAACTGCGAATTTTCATTAGAAAAACTTGTAAATGTACATTAAGTTTAATAAGTTACTGCCTCTAACACATCTTGTAGTCAGAATCCACGTTTTGTAGGTCCTTGATACAGAAAAATCGATTGACGGCAAAACGTCTGTCTGTCTGCCCGCACATCCGTCAGTCGGTCTGCCCATCCGTTAGTGGTCAACGCTAGCACCTAAATCGTTCAGCAGATTTTCTCCAAAACGGATAATCCTTGATCGATTTAAACGCACTTGAGGCTTTACGAGTTTGAAACGGATACTTTGAATTTTGAGGGTACTTTACATCAAGCCTCAACATTGTCTTAGAAATGGCTCCTAATTCTTTCATTAAATTTTGTACATTAAAAGGACAAATTTTGGACATTTCATTAAATTGAAAGGACATTAAGAGATTGGTGCAAGTCGTATTTTTGTTGAAATCTTTGATACTTCGAAAATTGCAAAAGTTTAATTTTTCGGCGTTCTCCTACAACTTCAATATTGAAAAATGAGATGTTTTCCCGACTGAAATCTGTTTGTTAAAGACAGATGTACAGTTTTTCGAAACTATATGTTTTCGAGTAATTATGAGAGAAATATAATGACTTATTAATTTATTAAAAAATCTTTGAATTTTTTTCTCGTACGTATCAAGGTATGGTAAAAAAACTCGTGCTAAAATCATTTCCAGCGAATTCTCTGCATTTTCAAAATAATATGGGTTGATTCCAGTTATAATTTTTTAATAATACACGTTTGAAACTCAAAATGCGAGAACCTCTTCAGCATCTGAAAATACATAGGTGTTACAAAAACAAATTTTTAATAATACTTTTAAAATTTAAATTATATGTTTAAAATTCTCAAAATGCCAAATCTATGTTGAACCATAAATATGTTAACGAATTACGTGTAACTATTTAAGGGTATGTCACACATGTTGATGTATACCAAGAGTACTTTCATATTTATTCACTGAAAAACTTACAGCATCTTTTGTGCACGCCATTGTAAAACATGCAATGTTTTCCTTCAGATTTCGTTCTCTAGCTGCCGCATGTTCTCTGAAAAGTTAAATGTGAGTTTGGTAGTAGAAGATCTTGGCAACTGCGTTTCTTTATTTCCATAGCAGCAAGAATAAAGAAAAAGGAGTAAAATGTTGTGCAAATGCAAAGACACCGAGTAAGCAAAGTACAAAAGCCGCGAGCTTTCGTCAAACTAGCTTGTTTTTTTAAAATGTATCTCTGATATACCCTTCTTTGGTAGTCTTCCTGTGAATATAAATGTTTTCTGTGCCCAGTGCATAACATGGGCCACTGACACATAAATGTAAATATTTTATCTACACAATGTTAATATTTTATGTGATATAGGGATTTTAAAAAGCAAATAGAGTATATTTTTTCTCTCATTCTCGCACTCTAAGAAAGAAAACATTTTGTAACTCAATAACGTACAACATTTTTCTTCAAAATAAAACATATCACCGACAGTAGAATTTCTAGTCTCTATATCAAACGCGCAATATTTTGATGTAATATTTTATTAATTAATCAGTCGACGACAGAAAATATAGTTTTGGAATACCAGTTTTGTTCTTAGGAAACGTAATGACGCTAGTTCCATTTGTTCGTCGACAGTAACTCAGCATCTTTAAAAGACCTTCTGAGGTGTCAGAGGTATTGTTTAGTTATGAAAGTTTTTTCTTAATGAATCACATAACAATTAGCTGTGGTTCAATATCATTAAGTAAAATGTTTTAAAAGTAAAAGCCAAGAAATGTTGCATCATAGTAAGTTTTAGAAATAGCATGGATAATGCAGAAACTTTCCTAAAGCGAATGACAATGGAATGCAACAGTTCGGCAACTACAGAAACTGAATTCTCTGTTCTAGGTATGTGATAATTTACAAAACAAATTAAGTGTAATCCTTAGTTATTCTAGTGTTAAACTTGCTTATACATCTTTACTTATACAAAAATGCAGGTTAGTGATGAAGAAGGAGATTTCAAAAGGCTTAATGTAGTGTGGAGCAGAGCAAGTCCGGTGGTGTGATTTAGTAGTGTAAGAAGTCACTTCAGAAACATATAAACAATCCAGAACCACATAAATTGTTTATTCGTTATTAAAGTAATGAATAAATTGGTTCAAACAGAAAAAATAGCACATATATTTAAAAAAGTAATAGAATAGTTTAATTGGGTCCTTTTCTTTGTTCTCTTCTTTGACGCCTCCCGGAGGCACGACGACGTGAGCTGTGGTGTAAGCAGTGATGCACTGATAGTGAGAATTCACTAAGCATGGGATTAGGCGGCATAATCCAATGAAATATTTGCATTTTTATAGTCAAAATCGAAACAGTTTCGGTTTTTTAAAGTATCTTGAGTTCCTGAGTATCTTACAAATCTATAGGTACCTCTCATAAGGCTGGAGGATGCGTAGATTTTTTAAACTTTTTTAGCGCTTTGGAAATTAGTAACAGAGAGAGAGATGATGTCTCTTTCTTCCACAACCTTTATTTCTCTGATCGACATATGCAACTGCTGATACGATCAGCTGATGCTCATATTAAAGGATTAGGTATGCTGAAACGCAAAACAGGACATGAATTAAAATAATTAAATATTAATTTCTAATGGTAGGCGTTTAAGATAATTTATTTTCATAAATATATTCGACTTCTTCCCGCTGAGTATCTATGAATATTCTAGCAGAAGTACATATAATTCCAAAAATATGTGTAACAAAATTCTAGATTTTTCTCTTGACCCGGAATACTCTCCATTTCGTTCAGAAAAGGAAAACCAGGTCTACAAAGAGAGACATACCCATTCTTCCTAAATCACATGTAGTAGCGAATATGTTAGCATTTATCTTCAGTATTATAAAAAAAGATAACTCAAGGTCAAATTTCCAGACAGTTGGTTCCATCTTAGTGAAGTGAATGTTTTACCCAAGGATCGTTGCTTAGTGTTTATTATTCCTATTAGTTATTAATTCAGCAAACAGTAGAGTAGAAGACCAGATTAAAATATTTATTTTTGTAGGTGATATAATCTTGTAATTAAGATTAAGTTTTTAAAGAGGTTGTCACAATATAATTATATTTACTTGTTGTTTAGTCTCTTATTTTAAATTATGGAAACAATGAAAGGTGCCAAATGTTATTTCACATAATTTTATTCACTTATGTTAAACCATTTGGAGACTGTTCTGTCTCCCTCTTCAGGTACAACTGAAAATTTAATTATATTTCATTGAAAACATTTGATAATTAATTTTTCACAGTTGTACGTGATGAGGGAGACAGAACAGTCTCCTAAACGTCGTAAGACAAGTGAATATAATAGTTATGTGAAAGAATTTTTGGCACCTTTCATTTTGGTTGTCCATTATTTAAAA